GGAAGCTTGAGTAGGCTCCATCCAGTCCCAGTCCCAGCAGACTGGATGAACCGCATGGAGGTGAATGAAACCCAGTACAATGAGATGTTTGGTATGGTCCTGGCTCCAGCTGAGGGCACCCACCCTAGCATAGCTCCCCAGAGCAGGCCACCTGAAGGGAAGCACATAACCACCCCTCGGGAGCCCTTGCCCCCCATTGTGACTTTCCAGCTTATCCCTAAAGGCAGTATTGCCCAACCAGCGGGGGCTCCCCAGCCTCAGTCCACCTGCCCTCCAGCTGTTACGGGCCCCCTGCCCACCATGTACCAGATTCCAGAAATGGCCCGTTTGCCCAGTGTGGCTTTCCCCACTGCCATGATGCCCCAACAGGACGGGCAGGTAGCTCAGACCATTCTCCCAGCCTATCATCCTTTCCCAGCCTCTGTGGGCAAGTACCCCACACCCCCTTCACAGCACAGTTATGCTTCCTCAAATGCTGCTGAGCGAACACCCAGTCACAGTGGTCACCTCCAGGGTGAGCATCCCTACCTGACACCATCCCCAGAGTCTCCTGACCAGTGGTCAAGTTCATCACCCCACTCTGCTTCTGACTGGTCAGATGTGACCACCAGCCCTACCCCTGGGGGTGCTGGAGGAGGTCAGCGGGGACCTGGGACACACATGTCTGAGCCACCACACAACAACATGCAGGTTTATGCGTGAAAGAGTCCACCTCCAGTGTAGAGACATAACTGCCTTTTGTAAATGCTGCTGAGGAACAAATGAAGGTCATCCGGGAGAGAAATGAAGAAATCTCTGGAGCCAGCTTCTAGAGGTAGGAAAGAGAAGATGCTTTTATTCAGATAATGCAAGAGAAGCAATTTGTCAGTTTCACTGGGTATCTGCAAGGCTTATTGATTATTCTAATCTAATAATCAAGACAAGCTTATGGAAATGCGAGATGAATACAAGCCTTGAGTCCATGTTTACTCTCTTCTATTTGGAGCATAAGATGGATGCTTACTGAAGCCCAGACATTCTTGCAGCCTTGACTGTGTTTTAAGCCCTGCGGGCTTCTGCCATATCCATGAGAAGATTCTACACTAGAGTCCTGTTGGGAATTGTGCCCTGGAATTCTGCCTGAATTGACCTATGCATCTTCTCCTCCTTGGACATTCTTTTGTCTTCATTTGGTGCTTTCGATTTTGCACCTCTCCATGATTGTAGCCCTTCCAGCATGTTATAGGGCAAGACCTTTGTGTTTTTAATCATTCCGGCCCATGAAAGCAACTTTGATCTCCTTTCCCCTCCTGTCTTCCCAGTATCTCTTGGAGTCTCACGAGGTTTACTTTGGTATGGTTCTCAGCATAAACCTTTCAAGTACGTTTCTTTAGAAAATGGACATACTGTATTATGTTCTCCTGCATATATCATTCCTGGAGAGAGAAGGGGAGCAGAATATTTTTCTTCCACAAATTTTGGGGGCAGGAGATCCCTTCAAGAGGCTACACCTTAATTTTTCTTGTCTGTGTGCAGGTCTTCATATAAACTTTACCAGGAGGAAGGGTATGAGTCTGTTGTTTTTCTGTGTATGGACCTGGTCAGTGTGACGTTTTATCCTTGATGGTCTAGTTACTATGACCCTCCCTACTTTTTTAAAACCAGAAAAAGGTTTGGAATGTTGGAATGACCAAGCGACAAGCTAACTTGTGCAAGAGCTGGCTACCCACCCACAGGTCCCCTACTTCCTACCAAGCATTCCATTGACTGCGTGTATGGAACATATTTGTCCCAGATCTGAGCACTGTAGGCCTGTTTTACTCACTCACCCAGCATATGGAACTAGTCTTAACTGTCGAGCCTTTCCTTTCATCTCCACAGAAGACACTGTCTCAAATGTTGTACCCTTGCTCTTTAGGACTGAACTTTCCTTAGCCCAAGGGACCCATTGACAGTTGTCTTCCTTTTGTCGGATGATCAGTCTCTACTTTCTGATTATCTTGCTGCTTAAAGACCTGCTCACCAATCTTTCTTTCACACTTGTGGTCTGAGTTACTGGTATACCCAGTATGTTCTCACTGAAGACGTGGACTTTGTGTTTAAGTGCAGGAAATGGAAAGTTGGACTTGTTTTCTATGGTCCAAGACAGCCCTATAAGAAGATTGGAAAAGGAGGAACTATATAGCTGTTTTCTGCTACCATTTCTTTTCCTCTGAAGCGGCCATGGCATTCCCTTTGGCAACTAACATAGAAACTCAACAGAACGTTTTCCTTTCCTAGAGTCACCTTCTAGATGATAATGGACAACTACAGACTTGCTCATTGTTCACACTGTGACTGCCCCTCACCTGAACCCACTGTTTGTATTCATGCTCTTGGCAGTTTCCTTGACTCTCTTTTAAGGGCAGAAGCATTTTAGTTAATAGTAGAAAAATAATAGTTTTCTTCCTCTTCTCCTTGGGCCAGTTAATAATTGGTCCATGGCTACACTGCCACTTTTGTCAGGTACTGTGATGCCCATGACACCTGCAAAATAAGTTCTGCCTGGGCATTTTGTAGCTATTAACAGGTGAATTCCTGACTCTTTCGGTTTGAATGACAGTTCTCATTCCTTCTGTGGCTGCAAGTATACATCAGTGCTTCCCACTTACCTAATATGTCTGTTGGTGGCCCCATATGGAAACCCTGTGTGTCTGTTAGCATGATAGTTTACAAATGGTTTTTTCAGTCCTATCCAAATTTATTGAACCAACAAAAATAATTAGTTCTGCCCTGAGATAAGCAGATTAAGTTTGTTCATTGTCTGCTTTATTCTCTCCATGTGGCAACATTCTGTCAGCCTCTTTCATAGTGTGCAAACATTTTACCATTCTAAATGGTGACTCTCTGTCCTTGGACCCATTTATTATTCATAGATGAGGAAAACCTTTCTGCATGGACCTCTGTGGACCACAGCATTCCTGCCCTTTCCTGCCCTCCTGGCCCAGCCCCACTTCTGAAAATATCAGCTGCTGATCCAGCCACTGGATATTTTATATCCTCTCTTTTCCCTAAGCACGATGTCAGACCAAATTGCTTGTTTCTTTTTCTTGGAATACTTTAATTTAGATCCTTTGGGTTTGGAGAAAGGGAATGTGAAAGCTGTCATTACAGACAACAGGTTTCAGTGATGAGGAGGACAACACTGCCTTTCAAACATTTTACTGATCTGTTAGATTTTAAGAACTCTTGAATTGTGTGGTATCTAATAAAAGGGAAGGTAAGATGGATAATCACTTTCTTATTTGGGTTCTGAATTGGAGACTCGGTTTTTATGAGATACATCTTTTATGCCATGTATAGATCCTCCCCTGTTATTTTTGGTTTATTTTTATTTTTATACATTCTTTCTTTGACTCCTCTTCTGCCTGCTTTTGGGGATAGGTTTTTTGTTTGTTTATTTGCTTCCTCTGTTTTGTTTTAAGCATCATTTTCTTAGGTGGGGGAGGCAGAGGTATGAGGGAAAGAGAGTCTGAGAATTAAAGATTTTAGTATAAGCAATTGGCTGTGATGCTGAAATCCATTGTATCATCTTACTGAATTTGACAATTTGTAATTCTTGCATAATAAAGAACCAAAGGTATAATGTTTTGTTGAGAGGTGGTTTAGGGATTTTGGCCCTAACGAATACAGTGAATGTATGATGACTATTTGGGAGGATACATTTATGTACCCAGAGGCCCCCACTAATAACTGGTACTATGGTTACTTCCTTGTGTACATTTCTCTTAAAAGTGATATTATATCTGTTTGTATGAGAAACCCAATAACCAATAAAATGACCGCATATTCCTGACTAAACATAGTAAGGAAAATGCACACTTTGTTTTTACTTTTCCGTTTCATTCTAAAGGTAGTTAAGATGAAATTTATATGAAAGCATTTTTATCACAAAATAAAAAAGGTTTGCCAAGCTCAGTGGTGTTGTATTTTTTATTTTCCAGTACTGCATCCCTGGCCTGGCAGTGTTACCTCATGATGTCATAATTTGCTGAGAGAGCAAATTTTCTTTTCTTTCTGAATCCCACAAAGCCTAGCATCAAACTTCTTTTTTTCTTCCTTTAGTTAGATCATAAATAAATGATCCTGGGAAAAAAGCATCTGTCAAATAGGAAACATCACAAAACTGAGCACTCTTCTGTGCACTAGCTATAGCTGGTGACAGACAGTTGCTCAGGGACAAAGTGCCTTCCAATGGAAATGCGAAGTAGTTGCTATAGCAAGAATTGGGAATTGGGATATAAGTAATAATATTAATTACGCTGTTATGTAAACAATTGGTTTGTAATATTCCTTAAGTGAACTTTGCATAGAACTTAATATACAGGATTATAAAATAATATTTTGTGTATAAATTTGTTGTAAGTTCACATTCATACATTTATAAAGTCAGATATTTGAACATGAATACTTGATGTTGATAATATGTATGGCATTAGCAGTCTCATATTGACCCTAGCATCTTATTTCCATTTTCCATTATTTTGCAGAAACTTACCAATCACACATGCATAATTATAAATGGTAACAGTATTTTTTTAAATGACTTGAAATCTTAGGATAGGCTTCTGCTAAGCAGATAAAGGAGCCTTGTTCAAGATCTGCACACTTAAGGTTTTAACGTAATTTAGCATTAATTGATTATGTTCAGAATGTTTTAATTTTATATAAAACATATTTAAGTCTTCATACTGGGTTTTATAATGGTGGAAGAATAAAATGAATTTGAGAGCTAAGGAATGATCACCTGTGCAGGCCGGCCACTCAGAGCTCAAGTTGCCACTTGCAAACTATTTGGGAACTAAATTGCTCAGTGAAAACCTGCTTCAGTGGATCCAGGCTGCAGGCCATTGGGTGGCTGACCACATCCGGCCCCTGCAATTATAAGTCTTGAATGCTAGCCTTTGATTTTGCAGGGAGAACTCAGGACACTCCCAGATGTGAAAGCCAAAAAAGGAGAGTAGTGCTGAAGCCAAGTGCCACCCTGTCACAAAGCTGGAGCACTAGGCTTGGACACTAGACCATGAGCATGCCAGGAGAGGGGCTAGTGCCTCACTCATGCAACTAAAAAGCTTCACGACCCAAGGAGAGGGGCTGCTTCCTTTCTCAGAACAGGATGTGGGCAATGGGGGAACTGCGAGCCCGTTACTGCCTCTGCCACTATGCCTTTCAGCCACAGGGTATATGAAGTGTGTGTGTGTGTCGTGTGTGTGAAAGAGAATACAACTTTTCCTTCTTTTGATTTAGCACTTAGCAAAACACATTTAAAATATTTGTACTAGTCAAGTCCCAATCACAAAGTTGGGCACACTCAAATTAGGATACATCAAAGAGGGCGATTTACAAAGGATTAATTACAAAAGTGTATGCAATGTCAGGGACCAACACACAGTAATGCAGAAACCCGTGTTAGCATCAGCAGAGCTATTTCCACTTCTGGCCCCAAAAGACCAAGAGAAGTCACTAGGACCTGGAAGCAGAATCCTGTAGAGCAGGGGTCCCCAACCCGCGGGCCACTGACTGGATACCTTAGCCTATTAGGAACCGTTCCGGGCTGCACAGCAAGAGGTGAGCGGCAGGCAAGCAAGCATTACTGCCTGAGCTCCGCCTCCTCTCAGATCAGCAGTGGTGTTAGATTCTCACAGGAGCACGAACCCTATTGTGAACTGCATATGTGAGGGATCTAGGTTGCGCACTCATGATAGTCTAACGTCTGATGATCTGAGATGGAAGAGTTTCATCCCAAAACCATTCCCTGGCCCCAGTCCATGGAAATACTGTCTTCCACAAAACTGGTTCCTGGTGCCAAAAAGGTTGGAGACTGCTGCTGTAGAGCAAGCTACCTCAAGAAGAGCTGTGACTTCCTTCAAAGCACATAGTGGGCCTTAAGCCGTCTCAGAAAGAAGCTAGGGAATGAATGAATACCCTGATCTAATTCGCCTCACTGGGCTTTCTGTTTGCCGACTCCAAGTGGAAGCCTGCAAATATGGGAGCTGTTGATTATAATCTATCAATGTAAGTCAACTTTCTGGCTGAGAGCTTGGTGGAGAAGGAAAGAGAGTGAATCTGAAGGGGCAAACATATCACTATCTAAAATGACATTCTCCCTCCAACTATATTTCTGAGAAATTTCCACTGGTATCCTGTTATTGATGTGTCTAGGCAGAAAGCATAAAGTTAAAAAAAAGTATATATTTAGAATCCTGACTTCTTTTTCTGATTTAGTAGTGTGTTTCTTCACTACTTTGGCTTTGAGTATTCAAACTGAAGACAGTCATCGGCAGTGGGATGGATAAATTCTGGCACATTCATTGAAATGAATGCTATGCATAAATGAAAAAGAGCAACTTGCAACAACACGAAGTATATTCATCAAAATAATGTTGAGCAAAATAAGCCAGACACAAGTAATTCTGTATGATTCCATTATATAAGTTTAGGGAAAACCAACCAATAGTAAATAGATAATCTGAACAGTGGCTACTTTTTGGGAGAAAGGTCTAGACTGAAGTGAGGGAAATAAGAATCTTTCTGGAGTCTGAAAGTATCTTGACCTGGGTAGTGATTGCATGAGTGTATACATACATAAAACTTCACGTAAAATTTAACTTGAGATTTATGCGTTTGACTTATTTAAATTATACTTCAATAAAATGTATCTACAATAACCTAAAGAAATGTACAAGCATCTAATATTAGAATTCATAAAGTGTTGATATTTTGTACTTATTTCAGATTTTTGAAGATGCATAATGCTTATGGCTTAAAACTCCTATATTTCATCCTCTAATTCCATTTCTCTTCCTGTTTTTTTCCTTCCTCTTTTTCCCAGTTAGTTATTTTTATAAATTTGGTCTGTGGGGATTATTTTCTTCTTGAAAACATTGTTACTTGCAATAGTTGGCCCATGAAAAAAGTCTGTTTTCAAATGCAATTGTATAAAATGTGGGACTCCATAATTGTGAATTTAATTGACTGAGTAAGACAAGCCAATGGAGTCAGCTTGCAAGGCGGGAGTTGTGGGCTCCAGCTGAATAATTCATACCCATCTGAGTCATGGCTGCCATTTGGCACCACTTGGTGGCACTTGTGTGCCTCAGCATAAATATATGTGGGATTGATTCTGGACTTTGTAACCTGGCTGAGAATTTCAAGAGCTTCAAAAGCCTTATTGTAAAACATCACCTGTCTATTTCACATGCCTATTTGAGAAAATTTAGGCTGGGCAAGCACTGAGATGTAGAGACCCAGTCCTGTCCCTCTGTCATGCAATTGTCTCACATTTCTCTGTCTCTGCTTTTTCTCTCTTCCATGACCCCTTTTCCTTGCCTCCTAGGAAAGGTTTAAGAAAGTGGATTTGAAGACCACTTTCAAACCACTAATCATGTTACATTGGAATCTGTGTTACTGTGCTTAGGTTTTACAATTAAAACTAGGGTTTTACATATAATAATTAGAAAGGAGGTTAATATGACTATATACCTGGACAACTGAAGAAAACAGAACTACCATAAACTATTAGGGATTCAGTAAATAAAATGATGTAAAACCAATTCACAGAAGAACCATTTGGAGGATGTAATTGAAAAGAAGACCACATTTACAATAGTGCACATGTGCACACGCACACACAGCCACACACCCCAATAACTTTAAAAAAATTCAAACCCAGTGGAGGGGCTTCAAGATAGCTAACTAGAGGCATCTGGTACTTGTGTTTTCTACAAAGAAGAACAAAAATAGCAAGAAGATAATCACACTTCAAATAGATCATCTAAAAGAGAACACAGGAATTCAACAGAAAAGTGACCGGAAACACCTAAGGCAAAGAAAGAGAGAAGTGAGGTAGCCTGCTCAGCCATGACTCGCTGGGAGCCCAGAGAGGCTCCCCAATGTGGGGAAAGGGTAAGTGAGAGACCCCCAGCAGTCCACATTCCCACTGCAGATTCTTGCAATCCTAACCATGAGATATCTCCTTGACCCTTGAGGACCTTAAAACTAACATAGGAAGCTGCCTGAAGACCCTACAACTCTACTGCTCCACAAGGGGAGCTCACGCTGGGTCCCACACACACCACCCCTGGCAAATCCTAAGCAGCTACTACAAGGTTCCATTTTGAGGGTCCATCCCTCAGCAGACTGAAACCTGTCATTAGGCCCAAAAGCCTCTGCATCTCCACATCCTGGGTTCCCCGTTGACATCCTCCACCCAATTCTACTGCCAGGCCCAAAGTGTAAGCCATTGGCTGTGACACTGCCCACCCCCAGCAGTTGGCCACCATACATTTACAGGCAAACTAAGGACAGGCTACCTCATGCACATCTTCCACTTAGGACCAAAGCATGCACTCCCCAACCACCTGCCCATGGTTGCTGCCACTGAAAACAACCCTGCCCTCTAGCAGCAGGGTCACAGGGCATCTGCTGCCACCCTCACCCAAGCATTCTCCCAGGGACCTGGTGTATTGGTCAGAGTTCTCCAGAGGGACAGAACTAATAGAATATATGTATATATGAAAGGGAGTTTATTAAGGAGAATTGATTCACGCGATCACAAAGTGAAATCCCGCAATAGGCTGCCTTCAAGCTTAGGAGTTAGGAACCCAGTAGTGGCTCACTCGGAGTCCCAAAGCTCAAAAGCAGGGAAGCTGACATTGCAGCCTTCAGCCTGTGGGTCAAAGGCCTGAGAGTCTGCAGCAAACCACTGGTGTAAGTCCAAGAGCCCAAAGGCCGAAGAACCTGGAGCCTGATGTTCAAGGGCAGGAAGCATCCAGCACAGGAGAGAGAGATGAAAGCCAGAAGACTCAGCAAGTCAGCTTCTTCCCCTTTCTCCCAGCTGCTTTCTGTAGTTGTGCTAGCAGCTGATGGGATGGTACTCACTTAGATTGAGGGTGGGTCTTCCTCTCCCAGTCCACTGA